TCAAGGACAATCGAAACGGAATCTCCTCGCGGAGAGAGCGGCGGCGGCGGCGGCGGCGACGAAAGATCCGCACGATCGACGGGCGCCCCGCCGGACACCCGTGTATCCAGACGTCCGAAATAAAACTCGGAAACGATATTATTGCGCTCAAAACTCGCCGTAGCGCGCGGGCAGACGTCCGCGGAGCGGATGCATTATAATTATTACTAGCCTGTACATTCATACTACGCGGTACATTCTCCGTCGCGTAACAGTAATAACAATATTGCAATATCGATTATAGGCACTTAAAACTGACGGACGCGTGGCACAAGTGCCGTTTACGAAACGAAATGCAAAAAAAAAAAAAATCCGGATCGGGTTAACACACCGCCTACCCGGTGCAGTTACGTTCGTTTATTGAGAGCGGGTCGAAAAAAAAAAAAAAAAAAAAAAAAATCCCCCGGCAGCGGGAATATGTGCGTAACCTGGGCGTTGTAACGTCGTCATTACGTGTAGATTTTATCGGGTCGCGTAACATTTAAAACGTATTTTTTCCATCGACGGACGCTGCCGCAGACGTTATAGTACCGAACACGAGTTATCGCACGATCGCGCGACGGCGCGTCCGAAATTTCCGTTAGCGGAGAGTTCAACGTGTAAATAAATAAATACAATTATTCCGCGGTCGTTCCGCGCTACGTCCCCGTCTGGTTTTTAATCCGCGACGGAACCGGCGGCGCGTCGTATTCGGAATATAGTTTTGCCGGGAAGGGGACTATCGAAATTTATTGGAAACTTTGTCACGATCAACATTATAAACGATGTTATACCGTGTGTAACACGTAGCTGTGGTAGCTGTGGTAGATTGAAAAAAAAAAAAAAACCCCCGTACGTTTTTACACGTAATTTATAATCCGATTCGCTCTAAAACTGTCAACATCAAAATCGAATAACTATAATACCGGCGTAAGCAGCGATGACTATATTATTGGTCCGTGTACTATATTTAAATGGACATGTCCGGCACCCGGAATCGTACGCACTAAAAACGTACGATACACGCGTGCACGTATGCACCGATTGCCATTGAAATATACAAACGAAAATACGCGCGTCAACAATGTATACGGTTCATCAAGTAATTATTACGGAACAAAAGAAATGTGTTAAATCCCGTAAAATCCGTAAACTCCTTACGGACCATGGGTATACACGGATAAAATCAACGAACAGTAGTACAACGAATGGGTACGAAACGCTCACGTATTCGATTATAATGCAACGTAAAATCGTAATATACAGAAATATGCAGTGCACATCGAAAAATGACAAAATATGCAAAGTAAAACTTTGTATCTTTCGGATCCATTGACATGTTAGCTTATCCAGCTACTTTTTGGACTGTGAAAAAAAAATAAAATAAAAATGCGTATAAATCAGGACCCGTTCGTATTAAGCGGTTCGGATGGGTTTCGTTTTTAAACGGGAAAATATCCACTGTTTTTTTTTTTTTTTTGGTACATTAACTAAAGGTACCGTCAGATTTGTGATTTTCCAGATTAAAAAGTAAAGAAATTCAAATTAAAATCATGTAAATATGTAATAGATAATAATAAACAGGCGGGGGGGTGGGGATATATCTCCCTTAAACCGGACGGAACGTCGAATTAATTATCGATAATAGGCATTATTAATTTATCGATCGCCTCGCGCTCCGGCCGTGTGTGTCGGTTGTGCATCGGATGCGTCCGGAGGCAATCTGAACGCTACAGTGCGCTCAGAATCTAACATAAGTTTTCCGGACGTCGTCGAATTGTGGTAGTGCCTATTATCTTTTCGTTTTGTTTACCGATCAACGAGCTCTGTCCGCAGGGCGACGGACACGTATTTACGGTTTTCGTTTACGGTCGGTTTTGTTTCGATCGGGCGTCCGACCTTGCAGTTGCAGATGCCGACGGTTAGCTTTCACCGATCGGTTCAAGCACGGAGGGTGAAAAAAAAAATATACACGCTAATAGTGCCTACTGTATTTTATTATATGGGTAATAATAACGTGCGGACGTTTTAAACCGAGTGACGATAACCGCAAACCGATGTATTATAAATAGTAATAACAATACTCGTGATATTGACGACTATATTATCGTTATTATACTCGGGCCCGAACTTGATGCATTTGTGTTTACAATTCTGAGCATATAGCAAGAAACGCATTGGTTTTATTATGATGAACGGTGTTTTTCTGTCTGATAATAACGCTTCTATCAGATATAGTTTTGCAAGTTTTTTTACGTAATTTTTATTTGATACTGATGTGGATAAAATATTGCTAGACCGAACTTTTGGTAAGCTGCAATGGTTTATCGTTGCTTACAGATACAAAAAAATGGTATGTATCCAACCTTCCGAACTTTCGGCCTACAGTAGTGGTACACCTGTCTCTAGAATTAGTTCTTTTGTTTTTGTTTGTGTTGTTTTTTTTTTTTTTTTTGTTTTTTTGTTAGAAATAATCGTATAGAAACTAAAATAATCACCAAATATTTATAGGTATAGGCTCTTTTTAAATCATGTAAATTTGTTCACAATTTTACATGATTGTCAAGTGTTATGCCTTTATAAGACACCTTTAAAGGACGATCACCTCTAAATAGCGATCATTATTCCCGGTACCTTCGGTGACCGTTGTACGAAAGTTTTACTGTAATACCCGTAACACTGACATATTATAATAGTGAACATTTAACAAAAGAAAAAATGTTGTGAAACGGAGGTATTTTGAAAGTAACCAATATGTTTTTAGCTGTTTTCGCTCAGTCCTACCTATTACTTGAATTTTTTAACCATCACCACCGATGAACAGTATACCGTGATTCGTAAGACAGAAAACGTTACGCGTACCTATCTACCTAATACTTATTGACACAAATTATAGAGCGTTTAGTAAGTTATCGCAGTTACGTCAAAAGCGCGGAGAAAGTTATAATATCGATTCATTATCATGAAGTTGTCCCGTACCGTTCGATCCAACTATCGTATTTTTATTTATGTTTTACTACATGTGTGTTTTTTGTGTTCGTTAGCGAATTTTCCACATTGATTCAATCAAAAAATGTATAGGGACTTTTCTGTAAAAATGTCGGTCCTATTGTTGCGTCGGAGAGGTACTTTTTTCAATTTTCTTCTTGGCCATCTCAATAAAAAGAAAAAACTGGTAATTTTTTATATAATTTTGACTGATTTCTAGATTAATTTGGCAATAACTAGCTGTAATACTTTATTCAAAATCGTTTATTGTTAGCAATGGTTTATCGTTGCATATACAAATAGAAATAAAATTAAACTTTTTACATCTTACCTCTTGAAATAGTGGCATATCTATTTTTCATGGGACGCACTCAGCACGTTAAAAAATGGTCGTTTCGGGATGCACTCGGGTAACCTCCTCCCGCCGCGAATACTGCGGAGTAACTCAGACGTTCGCTGACAGAATGTCACGATTGAACAAACTCAAAAACCCTTACACCTTGGCTGTGGCCCCGGGACCCGAAAAAAGAAGATGAATTTATAATATAAAATAAAAATTATAGAATTACAAGTTTTACAAATCGTAAACAACTAGGGGAAAAATTCCATTGCAATCAAAGTCAAAGTCGTATTTCGGTATATTATAAAAAAAAAAAAAAAATCCACTTATCAGCAGTACTATTATAGAATCGTGTAAAATTGGGACGCTAATCGTCGTCGTTCGCACCAGCAACCCGGTGGTGGACGGACGCTGTTCGACCTCGACGCGCGCGCCCGCCCGCTAGACAAAGAGTGATAGAGAGATAGGAGAGATAGAAGAAGACGATAATAGGTAATGATAATAATAATAATAATATTATTATTATTATTATTATTATTTATTCCATCTGGAGGCGAACCGCATCGGACGTCGGTCGTGTGACCCGACTGACCGCCGCATTTTACGTAAGTGCCGCTGCTGCCGGTCCGTATATAATTATTATTATCCGCCTTTCTACTGGGTACCTGTACCGACACGGCGGCCGTCCTCGTTGCCGGTGTCAGTGGCGATGGAAGATAACGCGAGTGATTATTATAAAAAATCGTCGAACGAAATAATATTATTTCGAGAAAAAATTAATAATAAACGCGTGTGCGGTGAGAGAAAGGGAATGAACCGCCGACTATCCTAGCGTAATATATTATTATTATTACAGTGATACAGCGTGATTAAAAAGTCTTCGGTCCGATTGCGAACTATCGGTGTATAGTATACGGGTAGCTCAACAACGGTTTAACCGCCGTTTAAATTTAAGGGCGAGTCGGGAGACCTCCACGGCGCCACAAAATTCCAGGGGCCTCAGTTTTTGCCACTGTATACTATGTTCTTTATTTCCGCGTCTAATCTTAAACTTTGTGTTTTTTGACATAGTTTATCGGTTTTAATAGCTTTTTGTCGATAACTTTTAGCGGAAAATACTAAATATATATTCATAATATATTATTGTTTTTATTTTTTTTTTTTTAAACCATTCAACGAACTTTTGACTTTAAGACCTCTAAATGTCTTAGTCCGGTATTGAGAACGGTGAACCGTCGTCCTAGAAATTCAATGTTCGCCGTCTGAACAACGAATTCCCACACGGGTGTGCAAATTTGGCGTACAGTAGCCAAAATAATTTGTCGATCAAACGTTGGTCACCGGGTTCACTGGAACTCGATGAGGGGTGTGATTTTTATGGAGGTCTACGTGAAAAATATATTTTGTCTGTTACACACTTACCTAAGTGCTAAAGTCTCGGATAAATAACTGAAAATCTGGATCACTGTGTAACGTTTTTGAGAGAAATACGAACGTTTTATATAATAGATGCGTGCCGAACCGCCAGTGGGGATATGTTGAACATTCAGAACATATGTATACCACACTCTGTTAAAACATGATTATTTTAGAAATCATTTTTTACTCGAATTTGCCTCCGGCTATCTTCGAATTTATTTCAATTGAGTGAAGACTTTTGAAACGCGCTGTATTTTATTATTACCGAGTCCGTTCATTACAATTGGTATATGTATATAAATTATTTACCATACAATGGATAATTCAATTTTATTTCCATCCGCGGTTCGGGGCGAGTATAATATAATGATAATATTAGAACGCGGTTTGTACGCGGCGATCAGCAAGCAAAACCAAAGAGTAAAGTATTATTATAGGTACTTACTCTGGATTATATCTGTAAAACCGAATGTAGAACGTGCGCCGATTCCATAATAAACTACGTATTTACAGTTTGTATCGGTCAGTTGTACCGAAACGTAACCGAGTTGTTTTTAAGAGTTTCAAAAGGTTTTTCGTAACATGACTTACTTTTCGGTACNGTACGCGGCGATCAGCAAGCAAAACCGAAGAGTAAAGTATTATTATAGGTACTTACTCTGGATTATATCGGTAAAACCGAATGTAGAACGTGCGCCGATTCCATAATAAACTACGTATTTACAGTTTGTATCGGTCATTTCGATTCGAACCGAAACGTAACCGAGTTGTTTTTAAGAGTTTCAAAAGGTTTTTCGTAACATGACTTACTTTTCGGTACAGATCTGATATTGCTNAAAACCGAATGTAGAACGTGCGCCGATTCCATAATAAACTACGTATTTACAGTTTGTATCGGTCAGTTGTACCGAAACGTAACCGAGTTGTTTTTAAGAGTTTCAAAAGATTTTTCGTAACATGACTTACTTTTCGGTACAGATCTGATATTGCTCTCAGAAAGTTAAGGTTCTAAGTGTAAAACTAAAACGAGTCGATGCTGCTGACATGTTGGAAATCTAAAGTATTATCAAAATGTGACGTCAAGTAAAAAAAAAAATCAATACAATTTTAATTCACTTGAAGTTTGGACACCAACATTTGGACAGGAACGTTTTCCAACTAAAAACAAAAAACAAAACTGATATCGAGGTTGAGGGCGTCACTGTTGTAGGAGGAATGTTGGAAGAAGGAGTTATAAAGTAAAAATTTAATGTATATCTGTACGAAACGATAAACCGTTACAAATAAAAAGCGATATACACATACATTTGATCTTAAAACGTTTCCAAAAATTTTTAAAAAAAAGTACTACATTGCGCTCAACTTTTTTTTTTAGGAATGATAACTTTCTTACGAAAAATTCATATTCATTTTTAGTAGATTTGTTGAGGGGAATTCATACCGAATAAGACAATTAAATTTTATAGCGTGCGGTGCTGTCGCATTCCAACNCATTTGATCTTAAAACGTTTCCAAAATTTTTTAAAAAAAAGTATTACATTGCGCTCAACTTTTTTTTTTTTAGGAATGACAACTTTCTTACGAAAAATTCATATTCATTTTTAGTAGATTTATTGAGGGGAATTCATACCGAATAAGACAATTAAATTTTATAGCATGCGGTGCTGTCGCATTCCAACACCCCTGCCTGCAGTGCGTGCCTGCTTATCATAATATTATATTTTAATAATTACCGTGAATTTCATTGTGTCCGAAACGGCATGCACGCGGCGGTACAAATTATGTTGAAATTGCATGCAAAAGAACTGCGAATATACGCCCCCGACTGCGACGGTTCGATTATTGTTATTACCATCGAAAGTACGCGTGTGTGGCGTCGTCGATTTAGTCGAAAAACTTTGTCGATTCTCAGACCTGGCGAAACTAATGTTTTCAAACGATTTAGAAAAATAATAGAACCGCGACAACAACGCAGTTTCCAAATGTCACTAAAAATATGAAAATTACAAAACGATATATATATTAGTTTTATGCATTCAAATTCAAAACTGGGTTGTAACTACTTGCAAGTTCAGTTATAATAAGTGACATTCTCTTTGATAATTTTTAACTCGACTAATAAATAGAAAAACTGAATGTTATAGAATCGCTTAATTAGTTATTGTGATAAAATAATAGATTACTTAATTGATTTGTTGAAATTTAAGTTCTGTATGTGAAAACAAATTTGTACACTAACGACGGGTACACTTTTACTATACGAATTGTTTCACATCAAAAATCGGGTGTCAATGCTTTTTGCGTTTAGGTTTTGATCGAAATGTACACTTTTTTTTACGAACCATTGTCCCATAACAAAGACAAATACAGACATTCGACTTGTATTATGCTGCATACCTTGGCTTTTTTATTAACTTAATCTTTAACTCCACATATTCTATGAACATTAATTAAATTAAGTTAAAGTGAATTAAATTTGAATTGCGTTCAAGTTCAGTCAATAATAATCGATTTCAATTTGACAAAAATTAATTTCCACGGTATTTAAATAAATAGGTACTTACCTACCATCTACTTTTAAATTCGTATAAATATTGAGTTATAGTTTTTTTTTTTTTTTTTAGTAATTCCAATAATTTTATTCAAAATAAGTAGATATGATTTGATACGTCCGTAATTATCCCCGAAACATTGATCATTCTTGTTTAATAAAATAAACTCCAGATTTAATCCGTTTTTACAACGAAAATTATAACTGTAAGGAAAAAATAATTTAACTTGAGTTGAAAAGTTATAAAAATTTTCAAAATTAACTTAACACAGTTACTTAATACAGCAATTCATTTTTAACTAGTTAATTATACTACAATTAACTTAATTTAGTTTATTATTTTGTTAACTTTAACTCTGAAGTTCAGTTTAGCATTTTTATTATTAAGATATAACACGACTTATAACAAGTAGAACAGAAAAAAAATTGTTAACTAGTCCAGTTTTGTTTTCACGTTATCGAATCCGTCAGTTTGTCACGTAGGTATTTTTAGAGCGGTTAAAACGAGTGGACGATGAAATCTCGCGTACACTATTTTTCATAACATTTAATTGACGCATTTAATAATTTAATAATAATAATCTTACGTTGTGCACGCAATTAACTCATTCCGTTTACAAATTAAATATAATTTATGTGATGACTTCACGTGTTTTTTTTTTTTCTAAATTAATAATATAATAATATATTGCCAACTAAAATTTAATGAAAGTACCAACGGCGAAAATTGTTGTACCTACATGTAACAGGCGCGAACCTATTAACCCGATTCACCTTGAGAAGTCATGATATTAATATTTTTTTGTAATTTATTGTGATTTTTGTTTTAAATTCGAAATTATCACGTCATAACATTGAAAAAAAGAAATCGTGTGGGTATCGTTTACTATACGATTTTAGATTCTTAATAAGTGATGACGTGTTTGTTACAAAATATTCCACCCTTGGTTAGAAATTCTACAGGTTTTAGTGAAAATAGTATACCGCAATTTATCGTTTGTTCGAGAATCGGAAAACTTATGACGGGACACCTAATATAGTTTAAGACACGATTTCTTCATATTATACAACGTACGGTAATTATAGAAGAAACGCAACGGACGCAAAGACAAAGGAATAAGATCAAGAAAGACATTCGAATAAGACAGATCAGTGATGGAAAATCACTACTTTCAATGTACAAAACATGAGTTCCCAGCAATTATCGCTACTTTTATAAGCGTTGGGCAACGCATAATTCGTTTTTTTTCTTTGAGTAGTGCTGAGTTAGTGCTCTACTTTTTCCCTACTTAAAAACGAACTTTTTTTGTTTTTCTCAAACTTTAAGTGGAATCTCTTAAAAAGGGACCCAACACAGGTCAAATATGTTGGTTCGGTCTGAGTAATCTTAATTTTATTTTAGAAAAATAACGTTTAGCGTAGCGAAATTTGTGCTGTTTTCATAATACGAAAAATGCAGTAGGTAGGCTGGTTATGGAAATAAAGCCGACTACGCTGCCAGTATATTTTTTTTTTAAAAAAAAAAAAACTTAAGGTAGTGTACTTGTTCTGACCGCCGGAAGAGATGATTGAAATGGCAGGATGCAACGGGTATTCGAAATTCGCACAATATTATTACAAAGGCTCTGGCGTTAAAGACAGAGGAATGGGAGTCTGTATAATCACTACGACGACGACGAAGCCTAGCCTCTGGCGAAAGAATAGAAGATAATAATCTATTCATATTCGGTTCAACGGAACGACGATCAAAGATACGAACGTCCGGATTAGAACATCGGTCGGATGTCGGTAAATTACCGCGACGGCGGGTTTTAATCGCATTCGGTAAAAGTCGCATTAGCGTTATTGTGATCGTAATCGGGCGATTTCGTATTCGCGGATATTCGGCAAACGCCGCTTTACGCGCGGGACCGCGTCTATTAAAATCCGCAAACCGACAACGGCTACAGGTATAGAACACACAGTAATCGTCGACTGTCCGCGGCAGCCTGCAGACGATGAAAGTTTAAACGGCGCCGTGAAAGTTTGCACGACACAATGCTGTTATTATAACACGAGTACCTATAGGTAGATGACGCGTGACGTTTCGTACGGTAAACCGTATAGCTTTTTAGCGAAAAGCCCCCACGGTTTACAAATGATTTACACGCGAGAAGCCCATCCGCACTGCGACGGATCGAGTAGTAATTCGCCATTCGCATCACGGAAAACGCAAAATAATACATCATACAAAACATGACAATATGCGCGCCGTGAACGCGATCAGAATTTAATGCCGTGCAACCTCGTCACCTGCAGCGCCGTACACAAATTCGTTTCAAAGTATCTGGTTAACGACAAGAGAATTCGACGACCGCACTAGAGCGATTATCTAGATGAAGATACGAATTAGCGGTTAACGGAGTAGGGGAGGGGGGGACTATTTGTTACAGTTTTGACGTATCGACACCTAATTTTGCTTGTGTTATTATAGTAATAATATTGATGTTGGGTCGGTTATTAAATTTACGTCCTACAGATACTCATGTATAATAAAAAAGAATAAACAAATTTAATTTTCTTAATGTTAATAAACGAAAAGTTTTAGTCACCCTACCAAAAAACTAACGACATGTCCCTGGTGGGGTAAATCGTGAAAACATTTTAAATTTTTTGAAATCAACAGATATAACCTATTCATAAATATTCGATAAATATATCGAAATAAATTGTAATAAATTATACAAAGAAATTTTTAACTGTAACAAATTGTATCATTACGATGGTATTTTTCATACAGAATTTATTTATTGGAAGAGTAATCGGTTCGATCAAATTGTGTTGTTAGAATTCAGTTGACACATAATAAATTGCCACTTTTCGAAATAATGGGAAAACATTGAAAATATCGACATCAGAATCAGACGGTCGTCCGAGATCGGGCGGTCGTTGAGGCTTGAGTGGCCGAAGTGCTTGGTCAGTGCTATTCTATTTAAAGGCTAATCAAATGATACTATAATACCCACCCATTAAAAATGTTAGTTCACCGAC